GATATAGATTTTTCTAATAATATTTACTTGGAAGCTTATGAGGCTTTCAAATTGCATAGACGATGAATTATTTCATTTTACACACCAATCTCAAGCTCATCAAAAGTTTTTTTTTCTTTTTTTGTTTGATTTGTTTAAAAATGCCATGTGGATTGGAACCTAGATGCCTGCTCTTTCATAACCTTTATGCTATCACACGATGTATAATTTATCTTTGTTAAAATTAATTAAGAGCAAACTTCTATTTACCTCATTGTGGTATATCCCAAATGCACATAGCCTCCCTATGATTTTGAAATGTCCACATAACCCTCACATGGTTTGTGGATTAAAGTGCACTCCTAACAACCAATATCCCTTCTTTCTTCCCTTCCGGACCTATTCTTCTTCTTCGGTAGACTTGTTCTCCTTCTCTGGAAAACACCCAATACCACAACAGACAACAACCCATCCATTTTGTCCACTTGCCCACTCTCTCATAAGTATTTCATTGCAACCCATAAGTAGAACAAAGCCTCTTCTCTCCACACATAATCTCCTCTCTCTCTCTCTCTCTCTCTCTCTCTCCCTATTTCTCTTGCTCTGCTTCCCCTAAAATAGAGCATGGAATGCCTTACCATTCCTCTCTTCCTTTTCCTCCTCCTCCTTTCCATTCTCTAATTTTTAGGTAAAAGACCCTTGTTTAAATTTCCTTCCTCTCATTTGTAGAGTTTAGTGCTTGTTGCACATCAATTTGCACTCGTTCTCAACCATTGTGTAACACCCCAAAATTTCCCTTGGACGGCATTACAATCTAGAATTATTCACATCATGAGAACAACTAATAAAATCCATCATCCAAGAAAATTTCATTCATCAAATATAACATTTACAATATCATTCCAAAATAATATGCCCATCATGGCCTTTGTATCCAAAATAATACGATTAACTATGGTAATTACATCTAACTAAAAACAAATTTGAACTTTGTAGCGGAATAACAAAAGGTTAGACTTTACATAGTTTCAAAAGGAATTTCCTAGTTTATCACGTAGAAGAGTATAGCCCTAAGCATCCACATTGGGATCCACGTGCCCATTTGGTGAAACTTCCCAATGTACCGGTTCATCGACTCCGAGCTCCTCATCTAACACGTAATCTAAAAATATATTGTTTGTAAGGGGTGAGCACCAAGCTCTGTAACAACATTCCTCTCAAACTCAAATAAGGTTTAGAAAACATATAAAGTAAGTCGGTCTCATTTCGCAAATATCATATAGCAATTTTGAAATAAAACAATGACCATTTATTTGATCTCAAGTGAACGCAATAGCAATAAGTTAAATGAAAGGAATAAACATGTCAGAGTGATAGAAATCGAATACTCATTCAATAACGTCATCTAATATTCTCATGTATGTTGGTTGCTTCCTATGAATCTACACCCCGATTCTACCTCGTTCACCCACCACAATTACACAATTCTAAATATTTTAGGAAGGGCGTATACCGTCTCTCACGACATTGACGAATCCTTCCCAGGCAAGGTACACCATCCCTTAGCCTCAAATTTACGTGAACAATAGTGGTTGCTCTCACAAACAACAAACTACTATAAGTGTTAGGAAACCATCTCACCCCCACTGGGATAGACTAACCTCTAACACTCTATGACAGTGCTCGAATGTAATTCAAGTTCATCACAACAACCATACAAGAGATGCAATAACAAACATTTTCTCAAATTACAAGGAAATCCAAAATTCCCAAATTTCACAATTTGTAATACAAGAGAAAAATTTAAGAAAATAAGCAAGAGATCATTACAACATCATTTTATTAATCAACACAAAGCACTAGGGTTTCAAAATCAAGAACAAAGGAAGAATCAAGAGGAAAATTCATCTCTCTTGAAAACTAAGGTTTTAAATCAAGAAAAAGAGATTTCATGGGTATTCAATCCTAACTTTGTTTAAAACATTATAATAATTGCAAGAAGACCAAGGAATGATTTCATAACATATGTATAAGATTTAGAGTCAAAGAATACATATATACAAACCCTAGTTTCAATGAACAAGAATGAAAGAAAAACTCAGACCTTGGTGTTCTTGAAAATTAGGGCTTTGATCCAATCCAATGCGCAAATCCCCTTTGATCTTGTGTTTTTCCCTCTCTTTCTTCCTCTCTAAGGTTTCTTACGGTTAGAGATGTTGAAATGGGGCTAAAGGAGTTGTCCTTAATTATTTATAGTGGAGGGAAGACCGGCTATTTGAGCCTTAAAATTTCAGATTTTTGAAAAACCTTCCAGAAGGTTTTTCATCAACCTTTTGGAAGGTTTGCCTATTGGACAAACATTTTCATTAACCTTCCGAAAGGTTTTACCTATTGGATAAACATTTTCATTAACCTTCTAGAAGGTTTTTCCTGTTTTTCTACAAATCCTTCCTTCTTTATTTTCAACCCATTCCAATCCGTTCCACAACCATCCAAAACCAACCCAAACTTATACAAAATACATTTGTACATCAAACATAGTTGATACAAGTTCTATTACAAAGGATTCATACATTTACCCGATTGTTTTTTACAATATTAGCATTTCTATGGCTATAACCTACATGGTTCATTCCTACGCCATTACATAAATTAAAATTACTAACACTTTTATCATTATATTAATATCAACATGTGGGGGTTTACACATTGTCACTGGAAGAATTACATGGTCTTCTTAGAACCAAAAAAATTGCTCTTGAAACATCACACAAGCAATCCTATTTCTTTTCTACTGCTCTTAATATCACTGATAAGCAAACTGAAAATTCACCAACTGTCATGAACACAACCAAGCACTCAAACGATCAATACAATAACAATCAGAATAATAGAGCCTTATCTGGGTATGGACTCAAAGACAACGTCGACCTCCCAACAAACTTCTTTTCTTTGCAGCCAAACATCAGTCCTTCGCCAATATATGGGTCAAACGAAACATCCCCGTTTACCACCCTTTAACCCAAATCAAAGCCATTGCCTTTGGCAACAAAGTCTTCATCGACCACACAACATGTGTGTGTGTGGGGGGGGGGGTTTGTGTGTGTGTATGTGTATGAGAGACAGAGAGGGAATACATAGTTAGAAGGATGAAGAGGATGAATAGTATAGAAGTATTTTGTAATTTTACAAACAATACAAAGGCATTTTTGTCATAAAAAAATTAGTTGTGGAGTCCAAGTTGCAAAATAATCACGTGAGACACAATTTCAATTAATTTAGACAAAATTGTTAACTTTGCACTTTAGTCCACAAATCACCTGAGGGTTATGTGGACATTTATAAATCATAGGGAGGCAATGTACATGTAAGATATACCACAGGGAAGGAAAGTGAAGTTTGCCCTTTAATTAATTATAAAAAAAACCCCATTACTTGAGGTCATTGCACTAAACCTCTTCTATTTGTGAATAAACAAAAGTCTATTAAAATTAAAATACCCTACCTTTGTTGTAGTTTTTTTTGTGATGTTATCAATTCTGAAACCTTATCTCAATGAAGGAGAAAGGAAATCCTCTAGCCAAGCACACCCCACCACCACCACCACCACCATAACCTCACATCTATCTAGTATTTCATCTTTACAATTGAAAATGATGATGCCCAAATCAGGTATATGCACCACCGGTCAAGTGTTCAGTAATTAATGTAGTAATTAAGTAGAGAGAGAAAGTAATATAAACAAGACTAAGATGTAGAGTGGTTCGGTCAACATGACCTACTCCACTATGAAGGGCTAGGATGGTCTGGTGTTTTATTGCTTCGAGGAGTGAAGGTAGGCGATGGAGAATAATGGAGATACAAGTTATGAGAGAGAGATGAGAGTAATAGCAAATGTGCTCAGTGCCCCCAAGTATTGGCGGGGCTTACAATTTACAGTGTCTCTTAACAAACTGGGGTGCCTTTTTCAGTAACTAAGTGACTAATTTGGTGGAGTTGGAGTTATCTTCTCAATGGATGAGGCAATTACAGAGCTCCCCTTAAGATCAAGTCAAAGATGACATGGTGGTTGACCCTTTTCAAGACGGCATGGATAAGGCTCTTGGGATAACTCTGCCTACTCCCTTGGTGATGTAGCTCCTCAAACTCTTATTAGCTTGACTGGGCATGGATCTCTTTTGTGCTAGACTCATTGGATATTCTTTATTCAAACTGAGCTTATAACATGAGTTGGCCTTTTGACCTAGCCCATCATTTGCCCCCCCAATGCCCTGTGTCCAATGAAACTTGAAGAAGAGGGTATTTAGTTGAACCTAGATCCTGGCTGACGAAGACTCCTCTTGACTACAGAATCAAAGTCAGTGTCAAGGCAATCAGTTTCAACCCAACAAGGTTTCTCTAGAAATCTAAGATGAATTCGGCTACATCCATGTTACACTTCAACTAAATTTCTGGGTTCCACCTGTTCGGTCAGGTGGCAGAGGCTTGGGGGCAATGCCCCCGAAACCTAAACGATTTTCTAAATCACATACTAAGGATCCTCCTTCCTTCCTGATATATTTTAGCTTTGTAGGACATCTCNTTCAACTAAATTTCTGGGTTCCACCTGTTCGGTCAGGTGGCAGAGGCTTGGGGGCAATGCCCCCGAAACCTAAACGGTTTTCTAAATCACATACTAAGGCTCCTCCTTCCTTCCTGATATATTTTAGCTTTGTAGGACATCTCCAAATATATAAACTCTCCCTATTTTATTTCCTATTAGAATCTCAAAAAGCCCTAGGCCATAAATTGGGGGTTTCTTCCTTCTCTCCTCATTTCATTCACTTTGAGAGGGGATTCCTTTTTNCCCTATTTTATTTCCTATTAGAATCTCAAAAAGCCCTAGGCCATAAATTGGGGGTTCCTTCCTTCTCTCCTCATTTCATTCACTTTGAGAGGGGATTCCTTTTTGAGATACTTGAGAACCAAGTTGGATGAGTGGACATAGAGATCTTGTTTCTGAGATGAGTGTTCAAAGGGAAATGTTGATCGAAGGAGAAGATGTGCAATGGTTCGTTGATCTTGGAGAGGAGCTTGGAGTAGCCAAGTTCGAGGCGAGATCTCAGGCGAACATTGTTGAGGCAAGCAGGCAAGGAGGCTGGGGAGGTGTTGAGGCTACAGGGGAGATGAGAGGTGAAGGCGAGGAGCAAAGGGGCAAAGTGCCACGGGTGTCGCCAGGAGAGGCCACCCAGGTCGCCAAGATCAAGGTGCCATGGGCGCCACCTTGACCTAGGGGGTGTTGGCTTGTGGGCGAGCTTGCCATGAGTTGGCATTGAGGCGAGCTGAGCATAGAGATCTGGGTAGCGTCGCTAGGTGCTTGGCGCGATCAAGCGAGCATTCCGTGGGTGTTAAAGGCGAGGCGCCTCTTGCGCTGTAGACTAGAGGTCATGCCAATCATGAAGGAAGCTTTGAGGTCGAGGCATAGATCCATGGGGTCAAGGCGCAATGGGTTGGCATCGAGATCGAGGCCCCATGGGCTCTCTACGCTGGTGAACAGGTGGAAGCTCCATCAAGCTGATTGGGGAGTGAACATTGTAGAATTGGCACCTCTAGATGCTGGGCAAGGGTCGATGGGAGCGAAGGAGGCATCGATAGCGACTGGGCATGACCAAGTAGGCGCACAGGCGGTTGGGCATAGAGCTAGGAAGCAAAGTACCGTGGAGGATTCTGGCAGTGATGATTCTGGCCAAATAACGGATGATTTGGTTCGTTAATGTGGAACTCCACAAAGTTAGATACCTCAAGGCTCTCCCAGTAGTGGGTCGGGCAATGTTTCACACCCCCTGTAACGGTAAACACCGGGGAAAGGTAGCTCTTGATGACGACGGATCAAAAGTGAGTACCATTTCTAGCACCCTTAATACTGACTTTGATATTCTGTAGATCATTTCCACTTATAATATTCTCCCAACGGTACTGTGTCGTCGAGCCGAAATGAGTAAGCCTGCTTGTTATGACTCCTCTAGAGACGTTGCTATCTATGAGGATGTGATTAAGGCTGGGCTAAGGTTCCCAATGCATTCCTCTGTTTGTTGCATTCTACATTGTTTTTTGCTTGTGCCAGGGCTGTTGGTGCCCAATGGTTGGAGAGTTTTACTGGGGTACCCTGACACTATGGAGAAAAGTGCACCATGAGGATGCTTCTCGTGAAAAGTTTTGTGCGGCTTATACATTGAGTGAGATTCTTGCTCCCAACTGTGGTTGGTACTACTTCACTTCGAGGAGAGTTAAATTGATTACTAGATTGCGCTCAGATTGTCATAGCTGTAAGGCTTGCTTCATGTTTGTCGGAGGAGAGTGGGCTTCATAGGCAGACAGAGCTTTGGTACCAGCAAGATGGGACACTCCGAAAAGAATTGGTATGTCCGTTATTTTTTCTTTTTCCATTGCCTTTTCACTAACTTGTTCTCATCACATTTCTTATAGGCTCCCCATTGCTCTCAAAGGACCATGAATGGAAGCTACAGGTTGTAACGCTCACCCTGTGAAGGACTTTGGAGCTCTCATGCTCCAAGAGGGTGGAGTTAGAGACTCTCCTACTGGAGGTTCCAGGGTTGGTGTTCCTTCCCTAGAGAGGAAAGGTATGTTGATTCTCTTGAATTCTCTTTCTTTACCTAGTCTTACTTCAGGATTACACTTTATTCCTCTTGTAGTGGCGAGCTTCTCTTAGATGACACTTCTAGTGGCGCCTCCTTAACCAACGACTCTTTCAGAGGTGATCACCACTCCAGAGACTCCCCTGTCATCCACACCTCCTGCCCCCCCATTCATCAACTCCTACTGTAGGGACTTCTACAGAAGCAACTACTCAGACTGACTCTATGTTGGGTGATGTGTGAATCGTTAGGAAGCAACTTGGGGGGTTTGTGTTTCCAGCAAACATTAGTGAGCTTAGCGGTCGGGGCACTGAAGGTGTCTGGCTTTTACCAATAGTTCTAGCATGCTCTTCAATGGTCACTTTATCACTGAGAAGAAGAAGCCCGATGAACGAAGGCCTCCCAAGAAGGCAGTCATGGTGACCTTATCATCGAGTTCCTCAATCTGGAGGACCTCCTCATTAAAATGAGTGAGGTAACTCCTTAAGCTCTCATCCCGATCCTATTTTATGCTAAGATGGTGGGTGGCAGGCTTCTGGTGGCGACGTCCTCCGATGAAGTGTTACACAAAGGACCTGCTCAGCTTGGCAAATGAGTCAATAGAGGTTGGGATGAGCTTGGCAAACCATTGTTGGGCAGCTCCCTTCAAAGTAGTCAGGAAAGCCTTACACATGATTTCGTCAGAAACATTGTATAGTTGTATTAAGGACTTGTAGGTTTCGAGGTGATCAAGTGGATCTTTTTGTGCCGTCAAAGGTTTCTACATATGGCATTTTAAATTTTTGGGGAAAGGGGTAGTTTGCCACATTTGGCACAAAGAGTGTGTCAGTTCACCTTATGATGTAATCCACAGACTCTGGTCATTATGCCTTCATGGCATTGAAGACGTCGCCCAGTTGGTTTTGTACTTCCTTGATTTTTTCGTCCCAGTGATTGGGGGCTCCTTTGGAATCGTCATGAAAATGGCTTCTGTGATCCACACTTTGGTTTTCGCTCTCATCTTCTTAGAAATGAGGGTCTCCACCATGGGAAGAGGGAACTAGAGGAAGAGGTGGAGCTGCCTCAAAGTTCTGATGAGGGGCTCCCCTATAGGGGGCTCCCAAGGGGGCGCCCAAGTGGGGAACTCCTTGACGCCCAGGGCGTGGAGCTCCTCTGGCTTGATGTCCTCCAGGTTGTGCTCCTCTTTATCGTCCAATGAGCATCAGTTGCAGGATCTGCTGATTCTAAGTTACAAGCTGCTGCATTGTTTCCAACATCTATTGTACATTCGGAACATGATTGGTTGATGGAGGGGCAACCTTCTTCTCTCATAGTGGATTGTCTTCGAGCTGATTAATGGATCTGGTGGTGATTGTCATACATAGAGCAAGAAAAGTGATTCGATGAGAATTTTGTCGATTTTCACAAACGGTGCCAAACTGATGATGCACAAATCGGTCTTATGTACCACCAGTCAAGTGTTCAGTAATTAATGTAGTAATTAAGTAGAGAGAGAAAGCAACACAAGCGAAACAAAGATGTAGAGTGGTTCAGTCAACGTGACCTACTCCAATATGAAAGGCTAGGATGACCTGGTGTTGTATTACTTCGAGGAGTGAACATAGACGAGGGAGATTAATGGAGATACAAGCTGTGAGAGAGAGAGAGAGAGAGATGAGAGTGATAGCAAATGTGATCGATGCCCCCAAGTGTTGGCGGGGCTTACAATCTATAGTGCTTCTTAATAGACTGGGGCCCCTTTTCAATAATTAAGTGGCTAATCTGGTGGAGCTGACACTATCTTCTTAATGGATGAGGCAGTTACGGAACTCCCCTTAAAATCAGGTCAAATATGACATGGTGGTTGACCTTTTTTTTAGGCGGCGTGTATGAGGATCTTGGGATGACTGTGCCTATTCCCTTGGTGATGTAGCTCCTCGAACTTTGATGAGCTTAACTGGGCGTGGACCTCTTTTGGACTGGACCCATTGAATCTTTTTTTTCAGACTGGGCTTATAATTTGAGTTGGGCCTTTTGGTCTGGCCCATCAAAAAATATACTTCCCATAAACTACAAAGACGAAGGAGATGACAGAAATTGTAGACGAAGGAGATGACTAAAGTTTTTTTCTTTTTTTGTTTGATTTGTTTAACAATGCCACGTGGTTTTCAACCTAGATGCCTGCTCTTTCATAACATTTATGCTATATAACACGATGTATAATTTATTAATTAAGAGCAAACTTATATTTACCTCATTGTGGTATATCCCAAATGCGCATAGCCTCCCTATGATTTAGAAATGTCCACATAACCCTCACGTGGTTTGTGGATTAAAGTGCACTCCTAACAACCAATACCCCTTATTTCTTCCCTTCCGGACCTATTCTTCTTCTTCGATAGACTTCTCATATTCGTTCTCCTTCTCCGGCAAACACCCAATACCACAGCAAACAACAACCCACCCATTCTGCCCACTTGTGCACTCTCTCACAAGTACTTTATTGCAACCCATAAGTAGAACAAAGCCTCCTCTCTCCATACATAATCTCCTCTCTCTCTCTTTCTCTCTCTTGCTCTACTTCCCCTAAAACAGAGCATGGAATGCCTTACCATTCCTCTCTTCCTTTTCCTCCTCTTCCTTTCCATCCTCTAATTTGTAGGTAAAAGACCCTTGTTTAACTTTCCATCCTCTCATTTGCAGAGTTTAGCGCTTTCTGCACATCAATTTGCACCCGGTCTCAACCATTGTCACTGGAAAAGCTACATGGCCTTCTTAGAATCAAAAAAATGCTCTTGAAACATCACACAAGCAATCTGATTTCTTTTATACTGATCTTAATATCACTAATAAGCAAGCTAAAAATTCACCAACTGCCATGAACATAGCCTAGCACTCAAACGATCAATGTAACAATAAGTATAATAAAGCCCTATTCGGGTCTAGACTCAAAGACACCATCGACCTCCCAACAAACTCCTTTTCTTTGTAGTCAAACGTCAGTCCTTCGCCAACATATGGGTCCAACGAAATATCATTGTTTACCACCCCTTAACCCAAATCGAAGCCATTGCCTTCTGCAACGAAGTCTTCATCGACCACACAACATGTGTGTGTGTGGCTTTGTGTGTGTATGTGTGAGAGAGAGAGACACAGAGAGACAGAGAGAGCATACATAGTCAGAAGGATGAAGATGATGAACAAGATAGAAGTATTTTGTAATTTCACAAACAATACAAAGGTATTTTTGTCATTTCAAAAATTAGTTGTGCAGTCCAAGTCGCAAAATAATCACGTGGTACCCAATTGCAATTATTTTGGACAAAATTGTTAACTTTGCACTTTAGTCTACAAATCACCTGAGGGTTATGTGGACATTTATAAATCATAGGCAGGCAATGTAAATTTAAGATATACCATAGGGAAGGAAAGTGAAGTTTGCCCTTTAATTAACTATAAAAAAAACTCCATTACTTGAGGTCACTACACTAAACCTCTTCTATTTGTGAATAAACCAAAATCTATTAAAATTAAAATACCCTGTCTTTGTTGTAGTTTTCTTTGTGATGCTATCAATTCCAAAACCTTATCTCAATGAAGGAGAAAGGAAATCCTCCAGCCAAGCACACCCTTCTCCCTACCACCACAACCACACATCTATCCAATNCTTTGTGATGCTATCAATTCCAAAAACCTTATCTCAATGAAGGAGAAAGGAAATCCTCCAGCCAAGCACACCCTTCTCCCCACCACCACAACCTCACATCTATCCAGTATTACATCTTTACAGTTGAAAATGATGATGCACAAATTGGTCTTATGCACCACTGGTCAAGTGTTCAGTAATTAATGTAGTAATTAAGTAGAGAGAGAAAGTAACACAAGCGAGACAAAGATGTAGAATGGTTCGGTCAACGTGACCTACTCTACTATGAAGGGATAGGATGGTCTAGTGTTTTATTACTTCGAGGAGTGAAAGTAGGCGAGGGAAAATAGTGGAGATACAAGCTATGAGAGAGAGATGAGAGTGATAGCAAATGTGCTCGATGCGCCCCAAGTATTGGCAGGGCTTATAATTTATAATGCCTCTTAATAGACTGGGGCGCCTTTTCAGTAACTAAGTGGTTAATCTGGTGGAGTTGGCGTTATCCTCTCAATGGATGAGGTAGTTACGGAGCTCCTCTTAAGATCAGATCAAAGATGACATGGTGGTTGAGTTTTTTCAAGGCGACGTGGATGAGGCTCTTGGGATAACCTTGGTAACTCTGATGAGCTTGACTGGGCGGGGACCTCTTTTGGGCTAGATTCATTATATCTTCTTTATTCAGACTGAGCTTATAACATGAGTTGGGCCTTTTGGCCTGGCCCATCATTTGCCCCCCAATTCCCTGTGTCCAATGAAACTTGGAGAAAAGGGCATTTAGTTGAACCTAGATCCTGGCTGACGAAGACTCCTCTTGACTATGGAATCAAAGTCAATGTCAAGGAAACTAGTTTTAACCCAACAAGGTTTCTCTAGCAATTTGAGATGAATCTAGATATTTTATGTTGCACTTTGATTGAATTTTGAGGTTCCACCTACTCGGCCAGGTGGTAGGGGCTCGGGGGACCACGCCTCCGAAACCTGAACGGTTTTCTAAATCACATACTAGGTCTCCTACTTCCTTCCTGATATATTTTAGCTCTGTAGGAAATCTACAACTATATAAATTCTCCCCATTTTATTTCCTATTAGAATCTAAAAAATCCCTAGGCCATAAATTGAGGGTTTCTTCCTTCTCTCCTCATGTCATTCACTTTGAGAGGGGATTATTTTTTGAGATACTTGAGAACCAAGTTGGATGAGTGGGAGTAGAGATCTTGTTTCTAAGATGAGTGTTCAGAGGGCAATGTTAATCAAAGGAGAAGATATGCAAGGGTTCGTTGATCTTGGTGAGGAGCTTGGAGCGGTCAAGTTCGAGGTGAGATCTCAGGCGAACACTGTTGAGCCAAGGAGGCTAGGAGGCGTCGAGGCCATAGAAGAGATGAGAGGTGAAGGCGAGGAGCAAAGGGGAAAAATGTTGTGGGCATCACTAGGTCGCCGAGATCTTGGTGTCATGGGCATCACCTGGCGTGGTAACCCAGGAGGCGCTGGCTTGTGGGCGAGCTTGCCATGAGTTGGCATTGAGGCGAGCTAAGCATGGAGATCTGGGTAGTGTCGNCGTGGTAACCCAGGAGGCGCTGGCTTATGGGCGAGCTTGCCATGAGTTGGCATTGAGGCGAGCTGAGCATGGAGATCTGGGTAGTGTTGCTGGGTGCTTGGCGCTATCAGGCAAGCATGCCATGGGTGTTGAAGGTGAGGTGCCTCTGGTGCTGTAGACTGGAGGTCACGCCAATCATGGAGGAGGCTCTAAGGTCAAGGCACAAATCGAGGGGGTCAAGGCGTAATGGGTTGGCATCGAGACCGAGGTGTCATAGGCTCTATACACTGGTGAACAGGTGGAAGCTCCATCAAGCGAGGTTGATCGGGGAGTGAGCATTGCAGAATCGGTACCTCTAGGTGCTGGGCAAGGGTCGACAAGCGCAAAGGAGGCGTCGACAGCTATTGGGTATGACCAGGCAGGCGTGCAAGAGGTTGGGCATGGAGCTAGGAAGTAGAGTATGGTGGAGGATGCTGGCGGTGATGATTTTGGCCAATTAACGGATAATTTGGTTTGTTCATGTGGAACTCCACGAAGTTAGATACATCAAGGCTCTCTTGGTAGTGGGTCAGGCAATGTTTCACGCTCTCGTAATGGCAAACACCGGGGAAAAGTAGCTCTTTATGACGGTGAATCAAAAGTGAGTGCCATTTCTAGCACCCTTAATACTGACTTTGATATTCTACTGATCATTTTCACTTATAATATTCTCCCAACGGTACTGTGTCGTCGAGCCGAAATGGGTGAGCCTGCTTGTTATGATTCATCTAGAGACATTGCTGTCTATGAGGAGGTGGTGAAGGCTGGGTTGAGGTTCCCAATGCATTCCTCTGTTTGTCGCATTCTACATTATTTTTCACTTGCGTTAGGGAAGTTGGCACCCAACAGTTGGAGAGTTTTACTGGGGTTCCCTGGCACTGTGGAGAAAAGTGCACCATGAGGATGCTTCTTCTCCTGAATATTTTTGTGCAGCTTATACTTTGAGTAAGACTCTTGCTCCTAACCGTGGTTAGTACTACTTCACTTCGAGGAGAGTTAAATTGATTACTGGATTGCGCTCTGATTGCCATAGTTGGAAGGCTCGCTTCATGTTTATTGGAGCAGAGTGGGCTTCAAAGGTTGACAGAGCTTTGATACCAGCAAGATGGGACATTCCCAAGAGAATTGGTATGTTCGCTATTTATTTTTTTCCCATTGCCTTTTCACGAACTTGTTCTCATCACATTTCTTGTAGGCTTCCCGGTGCTCTCAAAGGAAAAAGAATGGAAGCTATAGGCTGTGAAGGCTCACCCTATAAAGGACTTTGGAGCTCTCATGCTCAAAGAGGGTGGAGCTAGAGACTCTCCTACTGGAGGTTCTAGGGTTGGTGTTCCCTCCCTGAAGAGGAAAGGTATGTCAATTCTCTTGGATTCCCTTTCTTTACCTAGTCTTACTTCAGGATAACACTTTATTCCTCTTGCAGTGGATAGGACAGTGGTGGAGTCCCTTTATTCAACTAGGAGTACTCCTCCTCCAAAGTTTTCAAGGGTAAGCGATGCTCTGGCGAGTCTCTCTCAGATGACCCCTCCAGTGGCACCTCCTTAGTCAACAATGACTTGATCCGAAATGTGTACACCCAAGTGCAGACGGTTAAGTTGTAGTAATAATCCGGTTAAGTCTGGAGTCGAATCCACAGTGAACTATGATTGGTGTTTTGAAGTAAGAAATAATAGAGACCAAGTAACTAGAAATTTTGAGAGTTTGGAGTGGTGGGATTTCTTGAATATAATAGAAGATTATTTTCAAGAGTTTTCTAGACACAATATAAGATAAATTCAAACGTAAAATAGTCACCCTTTAGCTTGAGGATTAGAACATGTGGTTAATCATCTGGTTTATTATACTTGTGTTTTATAACTTAATTAACTCCCGTGTCAACATCAATTTAATCAAAAGATAAAAATGGACTATGCGAATTAAGCACATGATTATGATGTCTTTCTAGAAGTGGACAAGAATTGTCTATGCCGAGATTTAACCCGTCTACAGANTATTATACTTGTGTTTTATAACTTAATTAACTCCCGTGTCAACATCAATTTAATCAAAAGATAAAGATGGACTATGAGAATTAAGCACATGATTACGATGTCTTTCTAGAAGTGGACAAGAATTGTCTATGCCGAGATTTAACCCGTCTACAAACAAGAAAGTGTTTCTACANGAATTAAGCACATGATTATGATGTCTTTCTAGAAGTGGACAAGAATTGTCTATGCCGAGATTTAACCCGTCTACAGACAAGAAAGTGTTTCTACAAGGCATCCAACTATGACATTAATGTTCCATTCTTTAGATAAAACACGATAATAGTGAAAATTGAAATGTATAATGCAGATATAGCTTAGGTACTTGCCTTGAACCAACATGTTTTTCCATGCAAGAGTCATCCGTGACATAGAAAGAACCCATGGTTATATAAAGTATCTTCGCTTTGCTAGATACATTCAATCATTCAATGAACAAGTGAAATATAAAGCATTAAAGCANAGACCTCAAGGTTATACAAAGTACCTTAGCTTTGCTAGATACATTCAATCATTCAATGAACAAGTGAAATATAAAGCATTAAAGCATAAAGGGATTGCACAAATATAACTTTCGGATAATCAATACATGTTCATCACCTCTTACTATAGACTGAATGAGGAACTATTCACTCTCCACGGCTTGAGCAAAGCTAGAAAAGTGAGTGATACTCATCCCTCCAAGTAGAGAACTTACAAGGTAAAGTGCAATAAACGAAGAGCTGATCTTCACCAAAGAATAAGTGAAATCACGTTCCACCCTTCACGGCTTTGGTAAAGCTCTAGAAAAGTGGAGAANTTACAAGGTAAAGTGCAATAAACGAAGAGCTGATCTTCACCAAAGAATAAGTGAATCACGTTCCACCCTTCACAGCTTTGGTAAAGCTCTAGAAAAGTGGAGAAGTTTCACTCCTCTAAGGAAGAAGGAAGCTCAAGCAATGAAATTGAAAGAAATAAAGAAAGTAGAAGAAAGCTAGTTACTTTTGGAAGGTTTCCACCACAACCAAAAGATGAGTTATCTCTCTTGATACTTGTAAATAAAAACAAGTACAACTACAAGGGGAATCTAAGCCTCCATCATGGTTGTTAAAATTTAGCACAAGTAAATAAAAGACTTCAACTACAAGGGGAGTCTTGGCCTCCATCATGGTTGATACAAATGCAAAATGAAAACATAAACAAGAAATATACAAACTAGCTCTCTACTCTACAAGAGAAGGTTCCCATGAAGCTCCCTTAATGGGAGTATTTATAAGCAAGGAAGGGGAGAGGGGTGAAGGAACAGTGTTTGCTGCCCAAGTCCAAGTGAAAAGTCAACAACTCTGCAGCCAGTCAGTGGGGGACGTTCGAACATGATCTGTCGTTTGAACGTTGTGTCTGTTTTTGCTTTAGGGGCGTTCGAACTTGATATGTCGTTTGAACGTTGTCTCTGTCTTTGCTTTGAGGGCGTTCGAACGCCAGATGGGGTCTGAACTCCCTTACTCAAGTGGCCTGTGGTTTCTATAATGGTTACTTCCATACGTCTTGAACAACTTTGACCCTGCACTTAGATACTTGGTCCTCAGTAACTCAAGACAACGTTCGAATGTGGAGTGGTGTTCGAACGTTGTACTCAAGTACTTTTGTGGTTCTTCTTTCTTTGCTGCAACACGCTAGCAGGTCTCAGTAGTCTAGGCTTCTCAAGATTCCAGAGCACGTTCAAACGTGAGTGGGCATTCGAATGTGGTACTCAAGTACCTCAGCATTTTCCTTTTTTTACTACAACATGTCATATCTTAGTAGCCTGGTCCTCAATCACTTCAGGGGAACATTCAAACGTTGATCCACATTTGAACGTTATTGCTTTGTGCCAAGCTTTTTCAATTTTGCCCCTTAATTCACTGGTGTTACATCTAAGTGTGATATTTGTTATTCTTGAGCTCTTGTTCACTTTAGGACCTGAAATATCATTACTTAAACTCCATCAAAGCACAATTAGTCCCAAAAGGGCATAGTAAAATGCTAACTTTAAGCACTAATCAAATGACTCCTTCAACGGTGATCGTCACTCCAGAGACTCCCCTATCAGCCACACCTTCTGCCCCCTATTCATCAACTCTTCCTTTGGGAACTTTTATAGGAGCATCTGCTCAGATTGACTCCATGTTGGGTGATGTGTGAATCATTAGGGAGTGACTTGGGAGGTTTGTGTTTCCAACGAACATTAGTGAGGTTAGTGCTCAGGGCACTGAGGGTGTCATAAACACTGTTCTGAAAGGTTTGACTCAGGTAAGGGTCTGCTTTCTACCTTTCTCCAGTCCCTCCTTAGGTACTAACATTCTTTTGTCTTCTTTAGGTTTCAGATGCGTCTGTATGTCTCTTTTCAAGGGCAATTCATTTTAGCTAGCTGAAGCAGAGTCACGAGGTTATGGAAAAAGAGCTTCTTGCTGCTCAAGGGAGGATTGCTGAGCTTGAGGTTGATGATAGGGCTTCCTAGGCTGAGCTTGTGGTGACCTGCGAGAGGGCCACTAAGCTTGAGGCAAAGCTTGTGGCGACCTGTGAGTGGGCCGCTAAACTTGAGACTTATGGTGAGGCTGCTCACTTGATAGCAGAGACAGAGTTGAAGGCAACTCTTGAGAGGGTATCTCGGGCTGAGGCAGATCTGCGATTGGCTCATGAAAGGACCACCAAGGCTGAGGCTAATTCAGAGAATGGCCTTGCAGATGCAGTCATTGATGGCTAAGAGGAGCTTCAGAGAAAGATTTATATTGTTTTCCTTGATATTGACCCTTAGGCTTTGTGTTGTATGAGGCACCTGATGATGCTGAAAGTGATGATGGTGAATTNTCACTTGCGTTAGGGAAGTTGGCACCCAACAGTTGGAGAGTTTTACTGGGGTTCCTTGGCACTGTGGAGAAAAGTGCACCATGAGGATGCTTCTTCTCCTGAAGATTTTTGTGCAGTTTATACTTTGAGTAAGACTCTTGCTCCTAACCGTGGTTGGTACTACTTCACTTCGAGGAGAGTTAAATTGATTACTGGATTGCGCTCTGATTGCCATAGCTGGAAGGCTCGCTTCATGTTTGTTGGAGCAGAGTGGGCTTCAAAGGTTGACAGAGCTTTGGTACCAGCAAGATGGGACATTCCCAAGAGAATTGGTATGTTCGCTATTTATTCTTTTCCCATTGCCTTTTCACGAACTTGTTCTCATCACATTTCTTGTAGGCTTCCCGGTGCTCTCAAAGGAAAAAAANTCATCACATTTCTTGTAGGCTTCCCGGTGCTCTCAAAGGAAAAAAAATGGAAGCTATAGGCTGTGAAGGCTCACCCTATAAAGGACTTTGGAGCTCTCATGCTCAAAGAGGGTGGAGCTAGAGACTCTCCTACTGGAGGTTCTAGGGTTGGTGTTCCT